CCGCCCCCGCCTGCCCCTTTGCGAACAATGACCTTAACTGCTTACCTTGAAATTGACTCATCTGTTGGGCAATATACGCACTCCGCTGTTCAGGGGTCATTGCCGTAAGACCTGATCTCTGCTTCTCTCGCTAAACAGAAGATGAGAAAGACATGTTAGACAGGGGCTACCAAGAAAATTAGCCTTGGGATTGCTGTGTGGGGGCCCAGGACTTGGCTTTGGCGTAGCAGAAAGCATGAGTGAACACATCAACACACACTTGCATGCATGCCCCGCCCTCCCGAGCAAAATTCCACAGGTATAAACAAAAGTAGGATTCTGCACCTGGGTTAAAAAATCAACTGCGACAGCATAGGATGGGGCAGGAGAGACAGAGCTTAACAGCAAGAGCACACAGAGAAAAGGTTCAGGCATTTTGGATGTCCTTCTGCTCAGGATGGGTCAGCAGTGAAATGTGGCCACCAAAAGAGCAAATGTAACATTAGGCTGCATTAATAGAAGCAGAGTATGTCAAAGGAGGGAGGTGACAGTCCTGCACTCCTCTGCCTTGGCCAGACCATGTCTACAGTGCTGACAAGAGTCTGGGCGTGCCAGTCTCAGGGAGACCCAGATGGACTGGCTGCACTGCGAGGACACTAACTGATAGGGGTAGGGCTCGGACCCGGAACTGTGCAGACCACGAATGGCTGAGCAAACCAGGGATGCCGTGGATGGGGCAGAGCAGACTCTGGGCTATGTGGCAGTGGGTACCCAGACTCTGCAGGGCTGTCATGGGGAAAGGGCCCAGGCTTGTTCTGGGTGGTCCTGGCACGAACGGCAGGATGATCACACGGTCAGATAAATGCATTGTCTGCCACCCAGCATAGCCACTCGCTGCCAACTTCCCTTCATTCTCCTGCCTGGCTGGAGCATGGGCAACTGGGACGAGCTTCCTGTCTCCATTACAGGGGCAGCTGGTGGGCTGGGGGAGGAGCCAAGCTTCAGGGCCGCAGGCCCAGCACGGAGTCTGGGAGTGGCTCAAGGAGACAGCCAGCAGAGAACCAGACGAGGGCCCCGCAGGCACGACTTGCCCTGAGACCCTCAGCCATTCGGTGTCAGGTTGTGAGTGGGACCCAGGTCTGACTCCCAGTGCAGTGCTCACCCACTGCCATCTCTCTCCCCTTCTCAGGAAGCCTGCTCGATAGGGTGCTGACAACCAAGGCAGCTCCGTCAGGGAGGATCCCCCCACCCTAGTCCACTTGTTGAGCTGCATCCCCCCCAGATGCCAGAGGACTTGACCTATAACACGGGCTGCCTGGTAGGACCTGCATTTCTGCCCTCAGTGGGGCTGGTGTGGGCTGGGCCGGTGGAGGGCTGGTGCCTGGGGGGAATGCTGGGCTCCCAGGCCTGCCAAGGCAGAGGACGGACCCAAGGCACGGGGCAGGCAGACGACACCAGAAGCCATTTCACTGTCCTGTCCTTAGCCTGCTTCCTATCTGGGCCCTTGCTCCCCTCCACTGGGGCCACGCCTCGGGCGGCCCATGGAGCTGCCCTTTTCCTGCTAGAACCTGGGGGGCCCGGGGCCAGCCCACCCGTGCTCGCTGTCCTGAACGGCCTGCTCTCGTTCTTTCACATCCTCCTCAAGGTCCGCCCTGCTATGTCATTCCAGTTAGGGATCTGGCCACTGCGGAGCATGGGGGTCACATGACCGCCCAAGACAGGAAGTGGGGCTTGGAAGCTAGCCTCTGCCTGCAACACTGGGGGCAGCCCTTTCACTTCTGTTCTTCCCTTGGACCCTTATGCCAGCCCTCAGAGATCTGGGCAGAAGATCTACGGCCCCAGCTTACCGATGTGACATCTGAGGCTCAGAGAGGTTAAATGACACAGCTAGGAAGTGCAATGTCTCCCAACTGCAGGCCCAGTGCTCAGGCCTCTCTAGTCTCTTCAGCCCACTGCTTCTGGGGACCAGCTGCTTCTGGGGACTGGTTCCTGTGGCTGGCTGGGTCAACATCAACCCTAAATCCGTCCCCACCGTCTGCCCCATCAGTTTCCTCAAACACCGAAGCTGTACAAGGGTAGGGGGGTCGGGGCAGGTGGAGGCTACAGAGCACAACCAAAGAAAAAGTAGGGGAAGGGCAAGAAGAGTCCAAAGGGAAGGCGGTAGAGAGGACAGACACCCCAAGGGCACAGGAAATAAAAGAGAAGGCTGGGCTGGGGCAGGGGTCAAAGGGTGGAGGAACTGGGTGGTGGTGGCCAGATGAAAGAGAGCGCTTCTCAAACAGTCTAGAGTTACAGGGACCAGGGGATGTTGGCTGGTGTTCATCCAAGGAAACACAGTAACCGGAGCTTCCCGAGTTTCAGGGAAACTCTGGTCAGCGGGATGGCTACAGAAACTCCCCGGTTCAAATGGCACGTTGACACCGGGCCCACGGGGCTGGGCCTCCGGCATCCTGGGACACCGCCATCAAGCAGGAGTCTCTTCACTAGGCTGGGGCGTCCAGAGGCCCCGCAGCCCCCTGCTCCGGGCCTGGTCCTGTTGGCCCGGGGAAGAGGAGGCCTCCCCAGGAGGCTGCTTCCTTTGTTTTGCAGACGGAGGCCCCCATCCTTTGTTCTGAATCAATGTGCTCCAAAGATAAGCCCCAAGAAAACAGTTGTTGCCTTTTGACACTGACAATCAGAATCGTTGGAAAATGGAGAAAACAGGAAATGACAAATGTTTTCAGTGACCAGGAGGAAGTGATGGCTAAAAGTTGCTGCTTGGTGACGGACACTTGTGAAGGATGGCTCAGGCAACCTGTGGCTCTGCCTGAGCATGGTTATGGAGCAGATCATCGAATGAGTCATTTTTCTAGGGCTGCAGTTGTCCTGGTGCTCTTGTGCCAGGTGACACTGACCGGGCAGCGTCAGGGGAGGGCTGTGTGAGCCCAGGTGTCCTTCCCCCACGGTGGTCACTGTGCTGGGCCTGGGCCATCAGGAAGTCTCCCAGAGAACTAGGGCCCCGGTTCTTCCCTGTCACCCCCCGTCCCGGTCCCGCTTGGCCAAGGTGCCACATTCACAGACAGGTCTCAGGCAGGACAGGCAATCCTGGAAGTTCTGGGGCCGCCTTTCGAGAAGCTTCGTGCTGATGCCCAGGAAGCTGCAAAGCCCTCACCCAACTCTGGGGGCTCACGGGAGGGCTAGTGCTTCATCTGTGTGTGCTAGGCCAGAGAGAGAGGGCTAAGAGGCTGGCCTGGACCCCACCACTGCCCCCCGACTCAGCTGAGCCTCACACAGCAGCCCCCACTAGCAGGCCGGCCGGAAGCTGCGTCGGCTTCTTCCTTCAGTCACCTCCTGTAAGCCTGGATGCTTCCTCCCCACTGCGGGGGAAGAAGGGTCTCCTCACAGATTTAGCCACTTAATCAGGCAGAGGAGGTTGGGGAGAGGCAGAAGGGCAGATGACCAGCAGGATTCACACCCAGAAGCCTGCAAAGGGTTACGGGATGTCGGCCAGATTCAGACTGAAGTTATCCCCCCCATGGCCCCCAAGAGGAGAGCATTCTGACTCAGAAGGGGATTCCAAAGGAATAGCTCCTGGGGGATGGCAGGGAATGGATTCAAGCTTTGTGCAGCACACTGAGGGTGGGGCGGGGGGAAGGAGAGCGGGAAGTGGGGGGATCTTTTTCTACCTTTAGGTAACTAGGCTTCCTTTCCAAGCAGACCTGCCCCCTGAGTATCCCCACAGGGAGCCAGCCTGCCACACAGCAGAAGACACTCAGCTATCTTAAAGGTTCAAAGGTTAATGAGCTCTACTGTGCATGTTTGTTTATTACTCCACTAGGAAAAGCACCTTCTTTTGTAGTTTCTGGAAGCCAGATTTGGAAACAACTCACCCACCTTTCTGACTTATCCTTTGAAATGACAGGGAAGACAGCATTCTTGCTGGAGAGCATGAAATCAAGATTGGAATTCTTGGGGCTCTTACACCCATGAGGATGGGGACGCCTGAGACCCATGGGCTCTGGCTCCCCGGTAGCCTATGGATGAAGGGAATACAGACACTTCCATCGGGAGCCCTGTTGGGGGGGGGGCGGTGCTGATGCTCTTGGGCTCCGATTCTTCACCAGTGTCCTTTGGAAACCATAGGGGCTTCCTACAGTGAACGACAGGCGAGGTTCCTTGTTTCCTGGTCCCTCCTAACTCTCAATGCCCTTGATTCAGTTTCTCCAGAAGGCCTCCAGAATAATGGGATTGAGGAGTGTGCCATCAAGCCACTTCTCCTCTCCGTCGACGGCTGAGGCCAAGATCTGGCCCTCTTGCGTTGCCTCTGCTCAGTGTCCTTCCTGGCCCAGAGTGCACCCAGTGAGCTGTGGGCCTCAGTGGCTCTGGAGCCCTGGGAATGAACGTGCTCAAATACCAGATGGGAAGATGGGGCTTACTTAGGCAGCCAGGTAAGTCCCTCTGTCAATCAGCGGACACACATTTCTTGGGGGATAGCGCTGGGCTTCTCATTCTTACGGAGCTTATAATGGAGGGGGAAGCTGACAAGATACAAGTAAATTAATCAAAGAAGGTCACTTCAGATGGTGACACATCTCCTAAAGAAAATTAGGGCAGAGTGAAGGGCTCAAGAGCGGGTGGGCAAGGCAGAAACCCTGAGGGTGTTCTGCTGGCGTCTTTCTGGGCCCCTCCGGGACCCTGGCGTAGGGGCCCTGGGGCCTTGCCCACTGAGAGGCTGGGGCTCTGGGGTCTGGACCAGTCTGAGGCTGACTAGGGGCTTCACAAAATCAGTGTCATCACCAGCAAAAAGCAGAGAGCTGTAGGTCAGCTGTTTTACTCTCCAGTTTCTGTCTTTCTACTTGATCTCCAACTGTGTGAACTCTATTCTGATTCCTCCTCTGTCTCGGTTTCAGGGCGGCCTGGTCCCGGAAGGGCTTGGTCTAAATGCTGGGAATGATCCCGGGGCAGAGGAACCAAACATGTTTGCAGCTCGCCTTTCTTCTTCGCCTGCGGTGCCTGTGTCCTCCGTCTCACACTGAGTCCGGCCTTCCTGAGTCACCGGCTGAGCTGGTGCGACAGCCCGTCCCTCAAAGCCCCCGTGGAGCGCCCAACTTCCAAAGCTTCTTAGGAAAGGTTTGAGGGCCGAGCATCTGCCTGGCCCCCCTCCCCCGCTGGGCGGAAGGCGTTGCCTTGGGAAGGGACACAATAAGGCAGGGCAATAGGACTCTGAGGCAAGCTAGCTGGGGTCCCTGTCAACGTTGGACTCGTGAGGAAAGGGAAAGGCAGGGAAGACCAGGGTGGGACCCGATGACACCCGGAGTGGACCACGTCCCCAACCAGTTTTGCTAATTCTGTTTCCCTGGCAGCTTTGACCTGGACAAGATTTCTCCGGTTCCAGCTGGAGACTGAACCGATGAAGAGCACACTGAGCAAAGGGGCAAAGAGGGAGGCATCAATAGATCTTGAGCAGAAGGCTCTGCTTGTTCTTTCCAGTGGGGCCTGGCGGCCTAAGCAGAACAAGGCCGCGCGTACCAGAGCAGAATTTCCATTAAAGGCCAGAATCCCGGAGGCCCTTTCAGCCTGATGACCATCTTCTGATCACTATCACTTAGCAAATGCTCATTTCTCCAGTTTTTTTTCTGCAGACAGGGCAGACGTCCCATGCACGCTGCTATTTCATGCACCAGAACAACTCGGCGGTTCAAATGGTGTTCTCAGCAAAGGCCCACTCTGGCTGGCGTCCACCATCTTGCTCCCGTGACCACTGATGTGACCCTTCAAGGCAAGTCAAGCCACTCCTTCTAGACTCCAGGGGACGATCAAAACTCACAGCCATCGTGGACCAGGCTTGGCTTGGCTTCCTTCTGCCTGCTCTCCTCCGGCTGCCAGTCCTCCAGTGGGGTGATCTGACTTCCCACTTCTAGGGTGCACGAGTCTTGGGTGGGGTCAGAGCACACCTTGGGGGTGCAGAGTCCACAGCGGAGCTTGCAGGAGAGGCACTTCCTGAGCACCCACTGGGCACAGAGCAGGCAGGCACTGGGGGAGGTCTGGAGGTGCAGAAGGCCCAGCCCCGTCCCCCTTCGGGCTCACAGTCTGGCCGCAGGGACAGACAGACAGGGAAGGACCCAGGGTGCTGGAAGGCTTACCGCAGGGAGGGGGCAATTGCACCCGGGGCGACCCCCACTGATTTCCCTGCAGGTGAGGCTCAGGCGCCTGGAGCACTCTGCTTGCTTGGGTGGTCTCTTTGCCAAAGACTGGCCAGGACACAGTAGAGAAAGCACTAGAGATCCCTCCTAGGTGTACAGAGCTTTACGGGCTGTCACCTCCTGTGTTCCTCCCAACAACCCTGTGAGGCAGGCGGGCAGGCTGAGCAGGGGACTGCGCCCCGGTTGACAGATGAGAAAGCGAGGCTCAGGGGAAGTGACTTACCTACAGCGTCGCAGCTAGGCAGTGGCGGAGCGGGCACCTGCCTCCAGGCCTTCGGATCCCAGCCGCCCCAGGGCGCGGCCTCTGAGGTACTGTACGAGGAGGTGACTCGGGCCAGCTCGTGGGCAAACGAGCTGCTGGGCAGGAAGGACTCACTCCCCAGGGCCTGGCAGGATGGGGGCTGTCGCCCGAGGCTGACCTGGGGGGGCCTGGCTTCCCCAAGCTTGCAGGCTTTGTCTACATGAGTCTACAACAACCGATTGAACAATCCATCAGCTGCTTGGCCACAAAATGCTTCTGACTGATCTTGTCACTGCCATGACTGCCTGCCTAGCTGGGTCGTTTTTGGGTGCTGTGGTTATACACACCAGCTGCTCTGGGGCAACAGAACCAAACAGCTTTGCGGTCTTAATTGCCTTGGGTCACAAACTCCTCTGAGAATTCATTAAAAGCTATGGTCTCTCTCCACCGAAGAAAGCACTCCCAGTGGTGTTTCCCCTCTACCGGCCCACCAACGTTTTACATATAATTTCAGGGGTTTTCTGGACACTTCCTACCCATCCATGGATCTCAGTTAGGGATCCTCTGCCTTGATCAGTCATTGTCTTGTTGGAAATGGGAAGGAAGCTAGGTCAGATAGCTGGTTCATCGGCAATGACCTTGACCAATCCCGATCCCTCCCATCCCCTTCCCGGCCCCCCCTTCCCCAACGGAGCACAGAGTTCTAAACTGGTTTGCAGGTTTGTGTGTGTAGAAATGCTGAGGAATCTGCAAAACCAAACGGTGAGTGCAAAACCAAACAGTCAAGTGTAAATCCCAATACAGCTGAGTCCTGAACTTGTAGCCCTCACTGTACTTCACTTTACCAGGGCCCCAAGGCTTTGGGACTTGGGTGTGTGGGGGACCTTTCCTTGCCGTCATGTTTTAGATGACAGGGAGTTTGCTAGAAAGGAACATATGACCCAAATTCTTTCAGCCAAAGGCAATTTAAAAACCTCACACTTGATAACCGGGCTCTTCCTTCTACAGGACACGGCCTCCTCCCTCTCACGCTGGACCACCTGGGTTGCGAGTCCTCATCCACGTCTCCTAGCATCCCGGTAGAAAGGGAAATCTTTATCCCCCAAACTAAGTTAAACGGCTGGAATCAATTCAGTTCATTGCAATAAACACTTACTAAGCACCGCCTGAGAACAAGTCCCTGCAATGGATGACAGGCCAGTAGGTATTTTGATGTTCCATTCGAAGTAACAGTGAAAATCGCCACCACTGCATTTATCGAGCATTTGCTCGGTACCAGGCACTGACCCAAGTGCTTTCGACATTTGGTCTCACTCAGTCCTTTAAGCAGCTGTCTACGAGGCAGGAGCTATTATGGTCCATATTTTATAGATGAAGACACTGAGGCCAGAGAGGTTAACTAAGTTGCCCAAAGTCACACAGCTGGTTAGTATGAGAGCAGGATGCAAACTTGGGTTTGCCTGGTTCCCAAGCCCACACGTGGTTTGCCATGGAGTGTGTGTGTGTGTTCAGTGGTTAGCTTACCAAATTGCAAAACGAGTTTTGAAATGTAGAAACTCTTGAAACGCACCATTTAGAAAAGTTCAGGCAAAGCGTTACGAGGGGGCTCCAGACAAATTCCTAAGAACAAATTATAAATACTTAAAGAGGGGATTGGAAAGACAATCAAACTACCTGGAGGGTTTCAGAGAGTACACTCATCCCCCAGACAGATACAAAATCAAAAAACAACACAAAATATCCTTCGCAAGTAAACTCAGTGCACTTGGGAAAGAAAACTTCCTCGCCATTCTGACGGTATCCAGACTGTGCAGGGAGCTCAGCGCCCCTCCTCTTGGGGTGGGTCATCCCTACAGAGCGGAGCTCACTGGCCCTGGGCAGCTTCAGTTTGTCCTTGGAGCAAAGTCATCCGGGACTCTAGCAGAAACGGCGCTTTCTACAATTGACAATTCTTTGTGCCCGCATACCTAGCTCCTTGATCATTTTAAACGCTATTTTATAGCCACACTGGAGTTTTTACAATCCCCAAATGCAGATATTACTAGAGCTCTGATTGCCCACCCACTCCCTGATGCCACAACCTCAAAGCAATGAATAGGGCTTATTTGGAGGGAACTGAAGCACTTTAAGCTTTTGCTCAGGAATCCCTGGTAGCTTCATGGGACTTATAGGGTATTAGTGATGGGTCAAGAAACAGGACCGCCCCATCAGCGTTAACATACGCTTGCAGTGCTTCCGTAGTCCAGCAGGCGCAACAATCTGCAGATGGCACGTGGACATTACCAGCGGCGGAGGACGCCCCAACACGGTGGGCAGTTCTATCTGGAGCCACTCATTCAAGGGGAGCAGAATGGGAGCAGCACTTGGCGAACCAATGCAATCCCCAGTTGAAAAATGAAATAAATAAAATAGATGAGATTCAATCTGCACTCTGACTGACTAGGCGCTTTATAACCAATGCTCATGCATCTTCTCTGTTTTATTTAATTTGGGGGAAGAAAAAACCCTGCTTATCACACACCCTATAAATGTGAGGCCCAACTTTCAAGGAAAAGGCTGTGAGGGACATCTTCAACTCCCCAAGGTTTCCAAACGTAAGGTAAATCCATCTCTTTTTTTGGTACCACTGAAAAGCTCAGAAAAGCAAGTCAATTAACAATTACCGGTGGGCACGGTCACTAGCTCTTAGACTGGCTGGTTCCACATGAGTCCAAATTTCGCAGAAGTAGACCATGGGATGGATAGCGTCTGATAGTCGTAGCACCTCATTTCACAGAACTCACATCCACTCAGTTCCCTGGGTCTGGGCCTGCCATGCTTGCCCGAGAGCTTGATGGACTGAGGTTGGCCAAGGGTCCCTCCCCACTGAAAAATCCGCCAATGGCTTGCAGCTGCCTAGGGATGCAAGCACAGCCTGCTAAATTCTGTTCTTTGGGCTGTCCATAAGCTTGGCCTCCCGTCCGCACAGCAGCACCAAGAGCCGGGTTTCATGTTCCATACTGTCATGTTCTCTGCCCTCCAATCATGCCAGTCTCAGCTCATCAAAGGCCACCATGTGTGTTCAGCCCTCTGAGCTGGTGCCCCTTGATTCACCCAGCCTGGAATGCACTTTCTCCCTGTTTTCACTCTGGGACTCCCGCACGTCCTTTGAGATCCAGCTCCTCTACCCTGACCTTACTCCGTTAGGAGCTTGGCGTGATGAGCCGGGCACTCGGGAGATGGTAATCTGGTGAGGACTGTGCTAGCCTCTCTCTAGGATGAACGTTAATGATAAACAGAGCCTCACCCCTCATTTAAGCACATCTATTCATCCCTTTTCAACACTGTTGTGTTAATGAAACCCATCGATAGAATAGAGTGGGATCGTAACCACACCGTACAAATAACCTCAGCTAACAAGGAAGCAGAGGTAGATTTACCCAGGACACACAGTGGCAAGGGGAGGGGGGGTACAGACCTGGATCTGATTTACAGAGTGGCTAAGACCCAAGCAAATCCTGGGTTTGGAAGTCCAGAGGCTCCTTCCCTGCACCCGAAGAGGAGCAGTCCAAGGTGTCCTCCTTCGTTTACACTGGAGTAACTCCACCTCCTTGGCTATTCTGTGACATCACTGTAGCTCGAATGGGCTCTGGGTCATGAAGCGAAGGTTATGACTAACCCCCATAAACGTTCAGCTGCTTTGCAAGAAGTGGATGGCTGTTCTAACTCTATAAATTATTGACTAGATCAGATATCGGTCCAGTCTTCTCCACCATGGAGCTTCGGAAGGAGGTGTATGTGTATTCACAAGGTTATGGTTGTGTACTGTAATTCCACCGGCTTCTGGGAGCTTGCAGATTCCTAGACTGAATCATCCAGTAGTTCAGGCAAGGAACCTTGAGCCCCTTTCTTTCTTTTCTCTGACCTCTACTAACCGTGTGACAGAGGTGAGCAGAGAAAGCCCAAGAGAAGAAACTGGAGACTTGGCACATATGACAGAGACTCTCAGAGCCCAGGGTACTTCAGGGCTGAGCCGACTTCAGAAGCCAGCTCGTCGTTCAAAGTCACAGGTGAGACGAATGTACTAAGGTACTGAATGTTATCCAGATAACCCAAAGAGGTCAAGACAGAGCTGTGGAAGAAGCTGAATCTTGGGGCAAATTGGTGAATGTCCCTACATGTCAAACAGAAGTGACAGGAGACAATTTTGTAAATTTGAAGTAATGCATTGGGAAGACAGGAAAAATGTAATGTGAGTTAGACTTCTTGGCTTTTTGCTTGCCATTGCCCTACTTGGCCAAAGTGCAGAAGGCATTTCAATCTATCACAACCAGGTGTTTATTAATAATAATACAAGAAAGCTATACAACTCAAGTCTCAGATTTTGTAAGGAATAAAATCCCAGAAGCTCTACAGGCAGCATTGTCCAACAGAACTTTCTGAGAGGATGTCGAATCATCCTCCCAGAAAGAAAAGAGTGTTCTCCCTACCTATGTTGTCCAACATAGTAGCCATTGGCCACATGTGGCAACTGAGCACTTGAAATGTGGCTAGTGCAAATGGAAAACCGAATTCTTAACTTTATTTATTTTAATTGATTTAAATAGCCCCATGGGGTTGCTGGCTAAGTACCGGAGAGCACAGCTCTTTGGCATAGGGGCTAAGAGGGCATGCAGGCCCTGGAGAGAGGTCTGGGCTGGAACCATGGACTTGTCACTTCATAGCTATGTCATTGTGAGGAAGTTACTAACTCTTCTGTGCCTCAACTTCCTCATCTGTAAAAGAGATGTCGTAGCTGTACATTATTCATAGTGTCGTAGGGGTTATGAAGATGACTCGAGTGAACACCTGTTCATGCCTGTTGCATGCACTCTCCGAAGATTAGCTAGTCGTAGTCTTCATTACCAATGATGCCTCTGCCATGTATTGAGCAACTTGCCCAAGGTCATTCATTAGTAAATGCCAGAGCCTGGACTACAACCCAGAGGTTCTCTGACTTCAAAGCCCACGACCTGAGTTTTGCATGATCAAATTGCCCACCTGAAACCTTTGCTATTATAATAAGCAGACCAGCAGGGAGAAGATTCTGGAAGGCTGCTAGGGTTCCACAGCTGTGGAATGGCTGCTGGGTTGGCTACTGTGTGACCCACGTGTTCTTTTTGCAACAGCTGTATCCTAAAATTAGGAGAAATCCGAGTTGGGGTATTTCTGTTATGACCAGGTGGTACAGGGGGTGGGAGGGAGCTAGGGCTCACTGAGGACATTCTGCCAAGAACTCTAGGGTAGCACCAACCCCACCCGCCGGGTGGAGCTTTCCCGTAAATTTGCATTTTGTTCAAGTGTCCTTGGAGCAGGGTATTCCCTATGCCAGAGCTGGAAGAGTTTGAGGTTTTCTGGGATTTTTCCCTTTATAAATGTATATAATTTAACTTCAATTTTTTGAAGTTTAAATGTCTGGGGCTGACCAAAATTGATGGAGTCCCAAATCAAATTCACTTGGTCAAATCAAGTCCTCAGACTTGGAATTTAGATTAAGTTCAACTGGTAAACAGCTACTTTGCTGAGAGAACACAAAAAGGCAAAATCAATAATGTATACATCAATTACAGAATGAAGGAATAAATATCTTTTCTGCAGCATGAATCCCAGTAGGTAGGCAGGTGGCCTGTGAATCACCCAGGCTAGAGACCGGGATGCCCCTCGAGGGCTCCCACAGCACCAGGCGCAGAGCACGTCGGCAACCCTCTGCTGATATTTCGGCTGGCCGTTTTCTGTGGGGCCCTTTTGTAATGTGGCCAGTGCTGTGGCTGATGTCAGTAAGGCTGGGTGATTAGCTAGGAAAGCTGTGCTTGGTCAGGCTAGGTGGGCCCCTGGGAATCATCCCAGGAGCAAGGTGAGGTCAAGAGCACTGCTGTGGAGGACGTCAAGGGCTGGGTAAAGGGGGAGGGCATCAAGGCTTTCTGGAATCCAGAGCCTCGGCAGCCAGAAGAGGCCTGTGGCACGAGTTGCTCTGAAGCTTCTGGAAAGTTCCTAGGGCCTCAGGATGATGACAGTGATGGTAACACCTACCATGTGCTGAGCGTGTACAGTGTGCCAGGCACTGAATTAAATGCCACAGTTTCATGTAATCCCCTTTAATTCCCAAGGCAACCCTGAAAGATGGGTACCATTACTATTCCTCATTTTATAGGGAGGAAAATAAGGTTCCGAGAAACGAAGTAACTTGCTCCAAGTCCACAGTAGGTAAGGGGCAGGACTGGAAGCCAAACTTGGGTCTGAACTACTCCCAAGTTCAGGCTCTTAATTACAAATACTAAAAATGTAATGTCCAGGGGCGCCTGGGTGGCTCAGTCGTTAAGCGTCTGCCTTCGGCTCAGGTCGTGATCCCAGGGTCCTGGGATCGAGCCCCGCATCGGGCTCCCTGCTCAGCGGGGAGTCTGCTTCTCCCTCTCCCACTCCCCCTGCTTGTGTTCCCTCTCTCGCTGTGTCTCTCTCTCTCTGTCAAATAAATAAATAAATAAAATCTTTAAAAA